CCCACATGTCAGGCCCAGAACCCCAGGACACATTTTTCCCAGGGAAGCACACACTACTCTTATAGCTATGGCCTTGTTTCAGTATCACTGTGGCTAGAATCCTTCTCTCCTTACTGCTCAGAAAAATTAAACACATTTCTCAAAGGCTGTAGAATTTACCCTTCCCAAATAGCACTACAATCTATCATGCTTTCAAGGGTCAAATATTTGACACCAGTTCTCAGACAAGTTGCAGTAGCCAACCCGCAATCAGGCCAAGTTAGCTTAAGTTTCACAAGTGAGAATACAAAGATTACAACATCTAAAATTATGGTCATAAGTAATCAGTGAAAGTGATTACTTATTGATTGTGACTATGAAGTGAAACTCTCTGAATGAGGCTTATACTAGTTGTGTATGTAAATGTTTGCAAGTCTGGCCCTAATCTGTCAAATAACAATATTCAACCCCAAACCCCTATTGCTATAGTCAATCTTGTGGACTAGGCACTAGGAGAGATGCAGCAAGTCAAACTTAAGCACAGTGGTCATCCTCTTATTTAACATTGCACTTTCTCCCTACAGTGACAGCTTTTCATAGTGCCAAACAGATTCATGTCACTTTGAGCATCTCCAATATAAAACAGCATCTTCAGCACTGATTTTCATGTGTGTCACAGGGCATTGCTTCTATCACATTACACTTCAGCTACAGAAGCATGCAATTCTGGCATAGCTAAAGCCCCTTCCCAAAAGAGCAGACTTCCTCCTGAACAACAAAGCCAAACCAAGCTTGGAGACCTGATCAACAAGAATGTAGAAAGCTTTTCTGTACTAGTGAATTAATTTTTTGTTTACTAGTTCTCTCAATGCAAGGAGACTTCCACAGACTGAAATGATTTCAAGGGCATGGATTTTCATGAGACAAATACCTTGAGATTTTGATTTTGCTGTCAAAACACAAGACAACTAGCTGCCATTCTTATGGTTAAAAAAGCAAATAAAATATGCCACACACAGCCTCTCCCCCAAAATCTCAGTTACACAACCACATCAGCTTTGTACCTATGACAACTTACAGCACTCATAATGTGATGGTAAATTCCCATAATGATGAAGCATCCATCTTGGGAAAGAGGGGAAAAAAACCCTCTAGGTGCAAGGACCAACTGAATACTAGCTGCAATGTCTGTATGCCTACCCACTGACAATAAAGATTACAAGGGACAAATCGTAACACTCATGTTTCTTTCCTCTCTCTGTGAAGTCAGATGGAACATCCCTGTGCTAAAAGCCTCTTTCAAATAAGACAGCCATTTGGTTCAGAACAAGGAGAAAATAATCAGTGTTCAGCAACGTATTTTCTAAAACATGCACTCACATGCATGCACACACAGAGAGCTCAGAGCTCTTCACTCAGAGCTCTCAACTCCTTCTTCAAATAGAGATCGGTTGCTAAATCCCAGCTCAGGAGTGCAGATCTGAGCCACTTTCAGGCTGGGCATGAGCTGGCATTGTGACATCAGACAATACATAGTCTTTGTGCCTCAGCCTACCTATAATTTTTTTTTTAAACCCTCTCATTTATTTACCTTTCTGGGTGATTTATTTCCTTACTCTTCTGTGGATTGCTTCTTGATTCTCAGAAACAGAACCCTCTATACCAGTGAAACAAAAAAGGGCCAAACAATCGGCCTCAAACCAATTTTGACTTCTGAGTGAATCCCCCGACCAGCAACCAGCATCTTAGCAGCAGCATGAAGCAACCAGCATCTTATCAGCGTGAAAATGCAACCCTGGGAACAAGCCCTGGAAACAATCAGTAAACGACAGGAAGTAACTATAAATCCCAAATGTAAAGAAAAACAGAAACTCCTCAGACGTGCCCGGATCCTGGCCAGATCTGGACGTGCCCGAGTGAGGCATATCAACCTCCCAGATATCTCCTGTGCATTTTGTATAGACTTGCTCGTTAAACTGTATAAAAGCCGGACCCTCTCACAGCAAAGACGGAGACCTTACCTACGAGTGGACGCACTGCGTGGGACTTCCCAATTGCCGGGAAAGGCTCTCTGACCCTTCGCTGTGACGGGGCTCCCCAGCTGATGCACGGATCTGGATGATGGTAAAGTATGAGGGCAATTGGTGATGTATCTTTCTTAATCACTAGAGCTAGCTTTATGTAGTAATGGCTAGGTGCGTTACCTCGCTTATTCTTTCTGCTGCTTTAAACTAAAGTAAAATAAGCCTATTTCTTTAGCTTGGTGTCTGTGTCCTTTGTGTTAACCCCGTACCAGCCAAGTAGTTATTACTGTAAGCCTAATTGTACAGAAACAGGGAAGAAAACTGATATTTGATGCATATACCATGTCCCAGACTTCGAAAAGGCTCTGAACCGAATACACACCTTATTAGTACAGGCAACAAACAAGGGAATTTTGTTCCCCGGAATATACTTAAGAGTGGTTTGGGTTTTTTAAACAAACAAACAAACCAACCAACCCAAAACACCCCAAAAAACCCCTAACCATAGGGGTACCATAGGACTTCCTTTCAAATTAAGTCAGAAAGAACATCTGCATCTCTTTTTCTGCACAGTGGCTGTACCATTCTTGTAGAGCCAGGGACTCATGCAAGCATGTTTCTGAAAGAAGATGAAGTCCACAGTGAATTTCACAAATTCTGGAGATAGCAGGATCCATTAAGCAAGGTCAGCAGTCTTACAGAATAAACTACATCAAGTAATTTCATCCTGCTATACCTGGTCAGCCACACACAAACCATGTGACTTTCATAGAAACATTATTCCAGTGTCCATCTCTATTTAGAACTGCCTGATTTCAACGGACAGCTGTAGTGTTCTAGGTGAGGCCAGAATTGTGTGCCACATTTTCAAATTCCATTTCACTTTGAAAACCTTTCTTCCCCTGCTTGATTGAGGACATTGCCTACTGTGGGGGTGAGAAGGGAGTGATAAAAAAAAATTAAAATCTAACTCTCATGAAGTTGCTTGTCTTTCAAGTTTAAAGTTGTCAAATTTTATAGCTACCGGAGGTAATTTACAGAAAGGAAAATGGAAAGTAATTGGTTCACCATCAGATAAAGTCATCATCATTGTCAGAGCAACTGGCAGATAAACTGAAGTCGAGGCATCCTGGATCCAAACCTGTACTTTGAATAATACAGAGTAATAATTTGATTAATATTAATTATGCCTCTGCAAAAACAGCGTGTTTAGGAAAATATTGCAAATTCAGCCTTATAGAAACACATCAGTGAGTTATCAGTGAAGTTGCTTCAGAACTTCCAAACCATTCAGAGCACAGAGCTGATCCCCCTTCCAAAAAGCAGTTTTGTTTTCACTGCCTGACTCCTACCCTCTGCATTTTTAAAGCAACTAAAAAGCTCCTGATGTAACAACCCCTTCATGCTGAATTTCAATGCAAGGTTATGCCAGCATGTAAACACAAGAGTCAGCCACCAAACCATTACTGCAACATTTCCACCCACAAAGAAAATTAAAAAAAAAAAAAAAATGAAGTCTACTGCAAGACAGCAGACATTCAATGTCAATTACTGCCTTAAAAACGCCAACTGACGTTTGCAATACCACCATGCATCTCCAGACATCGAATCCACAGACATCAATAAGACTGAAGCCAATGCAGTAGTATAAAAGAAAAGAGATTTGCTCAGAAACAGGCCTCATTCAGGAACAGAATGCTGGGAAGGGAGAGGATTTTCTCTCTGTACCATAAATATCAACAGAGAGACAAACTGAGTGGCAATCTTAGCCATGCAAATGTTTTTGCACTCAGACGAATGTCTGCTGAATGTGCTGTTAATGAAGCAATCAAACTAAAAATAAAAAACATATCCAAACCCAAGACAAGTTTCCCGTGGGACAGTTGGGTTTTCCACTTTGGATAAGGTTTACTTTAAACTAGAAAAGAAGTCTGAACAAATATTTGGAGAAAGGGGAATCCCTCTGCTTTTCATAGAATCGTAGAATTGTTTGGGTTGTATGAGACCTTTAAAGATCATCTAGTCCAACCCTTCCTGCCATGGGCCGGGACATCTTTCACTAGGTCACGTTGCTCAAAGCCATAGGGATTGCTCTGTACTTAATGAATCTAGTTTGTTAAAAAAGCCAAAGGACATTCAACAAGTTTACTCCATCACCCTTCACACCTGACTTCCAGGTACCACAAGGATGTGACAACAACTCAGTCTGACCTCAGTAGCCTACACTACTAGAGACTCTAGTTAGATTTCACAGTAGTAGCGGAATTAATCCTCCCTTCCTAGTTATTTTCTTCAGAAGAGCAAATGAAACATGTCAGAAAAGCATTAGGTTTGGCTTCTGCAGACAAAATCAAAACCAGAGCCCCTGTAACCCACTGTAGGTGAGAGGCTGTGTGTGCTCATAACTTACAAACTTTACTCCCACTTCAGAACAAAACTTGGTATGTTAAAGACCATGCCAAAATTCAGGGTTTCATCAGATGTTGTATGCGGCGTTGCATTTTGGATTCACCTGATTAGATCCACAAGCATTCAGATATTGCTGCTTCTTGAAAGAGCAGAGATCCCAGTTACTTCAGTGAAAATTTTGCCAGAGTAGAAAACCTAGACCATTGGTTTTAAAAGTTGACCATCAGTAACACATACATTTATAGCCTTCATCAGAAACTGCAAACAAGAGCAGTCCAACTGTAACGTTATGTACTGACTTGTGCACAAGCTGGGCCCAAGAGACCACATAAAGCTCTGTACTATGGTAGTCATGCTGCTTTTGATGCTAGATCCAGTTCATGGCAGCTTACTTATCCATTCCAGCACTCCACCCATCTTCCATAAGTTTTAGTTGCATTCACAGATCCTTGAGAGGTGATATGACGAGGGTTTTTCAGATCTCAGTCTAATGAGGACAACGTTGTCAGTTCATCCCCAAAGGAACTTAGTTACTTGATGCAAAATTGGGGAAGGAGTGGGGAGGGGAGGACAAAAATGTGTACTGACCTCGTGCATCGAAGAATTCATCATCGGAGCTCTCCACAGAGTCTTTGAGGACATTCTGCACGTGCCACTGAGCACCACTGAATCGGCACGGCCCAGCTGGAAATACAGAGATACTTACATTAACCCAAGGGAATGTTCACCTCTGCTCCAGACTTAAAGAAAAAAAAAATACAGGCTTAAACAAAAAGTAGATGGCTGGAGGATTATTTTGGTCTGTGCACATACTTTAATCTTAACAGACAATCAGCCAAAGTTCCCAAGATGGCACAAAAATTACACCTGTCGCTTCCACCTATCAAAAGTGATTAAGACAAGTTCTTGTTAAAGACTGCATCACTTCCAGCTAATGCAGTGCCTTGAAAAGATAAATTCTTCCCTGTCAAATTCACCAGGTTGTTCAATTCCAACACTCAAACTGTAGGTTGTTTCTGAGACATGAAGCAGCATTTCCCCAGGACATGGCAGTAGCTCCCGTTTAAATTCAATTTCACTCTGAAAGAAGTGCCATCCTATTTGGCTCACATATTTACAGACAAACTACTGAATTCTCACTCACTGAGCTGTTTTTACCAGACAGCTTTGTTTGGCTGGAGCCTGGAGCTTTCATTTGAAGCTTGCCATTTGAAGACAGAAAGACAAAACCACGTTAGAATAGGTACAGTAACAGATATAGTCATGACAGCTTAGATGGTCCCAGTGGATTATCATACTCAACCTAATTTGTAATTAGTAAACCAGACCTGCCTAACTGTATCAGTTTTCTTTACCTCTACAGCCACCCAACACTAGAAAGTAGTAGTGAAATAGATTCCTTATATTAACAATAAAGTCTTCCTCAAATCAGTGGGGAACAAGGGATCAAATCCATCATAGGCGTAACAACACTACAGTTGATGTAGAAAGGACCCTCATTACCAACCCAAATAGTATCCTTAGTTTTATCCATTTCTCCAAATGATGACATCAGACCTGAAATCTAATATCCTCAGGCCCTGTCCACAAAAGCATTCTCCTCCCAGTAGTAAAAGAGCAACTCGGGCAGGGGAGGCATCCTTCTATATTATTCTGGAGGAAACATGCCACTAGGTCACAGCCTTCTGTTCTAAATTTACTCCATCTATAGCTGAACTAATCAGAAATATAAATGCAAGGTGGTAGGAGAAAGCAGTCTTTAGCTGGCCAAGAAAAGAGTAAAAATAATTATCAGTTAATAGCATTTTAATAGCTGAAAACAAAAAAAACAAAAAAACAAAACAAAACAAAAAACATTCAAAATAATTGGTTATTGAGAAGTCAGTGTTCATTACAAGAGTACAGTGTATATCGGGAATGTGTTCAGTGATATTTGGCAGCTAACAAAGAATGTATACAAATCATTACATTTCCTGTTACAGATTTCTAGAACTTTTTACTAACCAATAGGGAACAGCAAACCTAATTACTCCTTACCAAACACCACCTTGCAGTTCCTCCATTCCATATATATATATATATATATATATATATATATACATACACGCACTAAAACTTATCCCTATAGTTGTTAAATTAGTGGTAAAAAGAACACCATTCTGAATTTCTAACAAAGGAAAGTCTGAATTTGGTCAATGCTTGGAAGAGCAGGAATTCCAAAATTTCAAAGCACAAGAATGAGAAGCACCACAACAAAAGCCAGTGACAGATGGGAAAGGGAGAATTTGCAAAATCCAGTCTTTGGGTAAGAGCTCATATGCTACAAAAGAGCAGAAGGAACAAATAATCTGCCTCACCTTTGGAGATAACAGATCTGAAAAATCAAATATAATACTATTAGTAGAAAAATTGTTGAGTAAACTATGCTGTTTCAGCCTTCTGTAGAATATCAGATTTCCTGATTACAGGCCTTAAGATCTATGAGCAGCCAGAAAGAATGCAGTGAACTAGGAAATTTATGAAGATCCTCTAAATGAGAGCAAAGTCCACAGAATATGAGAACAGGAGTCAGACAGAGAGAATGACGAGAAGGTAAAAGACTGACTCGATCATCTCAAGAGCGTGCCGAATTTTCCTCAGCAAAAAAACAGCTCCTTGTTCAGCTACCCTGGTCAGTCAAGTATCTGTAACTGAAGCTGAATTTCTGTGCTATGGATGCTTACTAAACCACAGGAATATCCGAACTAAGACAGATAGACTTCATTGGTAACACACAGTTAATGTCTTTGGGGTCCGGTAGATGCAGACACTCCCATACTGAACATAAATATCACACTGAGAAAATTCTGCTTGGATTTTCCCAACCTGATGTCTCTACTGATTATAGTTCTTCCAAGGCTAAAAACTGAGTCTGATTTTTATATATTATGAGCATTCAATGACTCCACAAGAAGCCAGAGGGCTACACTTGCAGAAACAAACAAAAAATGCCACAAAAAACCCCACCCTCTTAGGACAGCAGATAATTTGCTTTGAAGAGACATTCAGGGGCCTGACTTTTAGAAGGTAGTTTCTCTACTTTTTAAAGCTGTATAACTGTATGCCTCTAGTCAGGCACCACAAATGCAGTTATCCAAAGCTAGCAAACACTGGGAAAAAGAACAAGCAAACAAAAACAAACCAGAAGAAATAAGTATTTGGAATTTTGGATAATTATTTTCAGGATTTGTCTTACCATGATTTTAAATTAAATATTCTCCAATTTTTGTTATGCCAGTCATCTATATTTCCCATGGATTGATGAAGTCCTATTCAATGTAGTCTTGGGCTTTCACAATTCCCCAGCAAATGCATAAGATTTAAGACCAGAAGGACCCACTCATTCTTCCTTCCTTCCTTCCTTCCTTGCCTTTCCTGATATCTAGTTCCCTTGCAAAATCCACCTTCAAGGAACAAATACTCAAAGTTACAGGATTAATCCAACACCTGCAATATGTAGGTCAGTTCCTTCCATTTCATGGTATATGCTTTCTCACCTCAATTTTGATTTGGTTCCTCTGTGGAAGACAGCCAGTTCTTCTGTGAAGAAACTGTCTGCTACTGTTTGTTTTTACCTAACAGATTTTGAGACATTACTATGACAAAGGCAGCAAATAACATCAAAAACATTACAGAAATCACTGAAGAGTAAGGTAGTTTAAGCATCTGTATGATTCACTGATTTGTATCCGATAATAACAATGGCATTTTCAGAGTGATTTTCTTAATCAAATCAAAATTCACTCAGATCAAGATGTACATGATTATTCCACTTCTGCATACCCAAATAGAACTAGAATGTAGAATGCAAGCTATTTATCAAGGAACTCTCCTGGCACAAAGAATTAATAATAATACTAATAAAAATCAATGTTTCATTCCAGAAATTTTCAACTGGATTGTGAAAATAATCTGATCTTCATTTGACCGGAGGGAACAAGGCACTGTTACAAAAAAAAAAAAAAAAAAAAAAAAATCTCAAGAGAACAACAAAAGAAATCCAGATAAACTCAGTCTTGGTACAAAACTTATTTGCTCAAGGACTGTATTCATTACTTGACACTTTGACTGTCCAACACAGATTAATATGGAGCACAAAACCCCCAAGAAGATAGACCTCAGTCCTTCAAGAAACCAAGTAACCTCAGCCCCTGTGTAATAGGACCCACAGTCTCCACGTATCGGCGGAAAGGCTAGAGCCAAACTCCAGGGGTTGACGATCTCATCCCCTCTCTGGGGGGTTACAGGAAAAGCAATAGGACACACTTCCATGGGTGCTTGCTCATCTTCAAGAGTTCTCTAAAGCAATGGGTTTTTCAGTTGTCAGTAAGAATTAGCAAGTCACTACTGCATTTACTACAGACTTTGTTTTCACAATACCCTCATGAACACAAACAGTTCCTTCCCATTGACAGCCACCTTGGTTTCAACATTTAAAACACCTACAACTGTATGTTATATACAATTACCAACCACAGTAACTTCTTTCCTGCTAAACTTTTCTCATTCAGACTTTTCCATATTGACACCATGACTCCCAAATACCACAGCATGTTAATTTATGGTGTCTCCAATGCAATTTCAAGGTCTAAGTTGCATGCTGAAGTAGTAATTTCCTATGGAGCAAAAAAAAACCAACCAACCAAACAAACCAGTTCTTTAGATACACTGTTTTACAACAGATGCTATTCACAAATTTTACTTTCAGCTCACATTGACAAAGTTCCCATTTATCCTTGAGATAAATGAAAATGTCTAAAGTCTACTTCTAACAACCTACCAACTGTGAGTAATGGAAGAGGGCAAGATTTTTTGGTAGCTGTACTTGAGTTCTACATATTCTTTACAAAAAAATCCAATTCCAATTTTTGCTGATTAATCCATTTTTTTCTACTAAAGGAAATTAAATCCAAGAAATAAGCCAGTCCAGAAAGCACTTTTATTACTTGTACAACCTCCAATGGCATGGCTTCTAAACAACTCATAAGCACAAATGCACTTCCCCTTACAGCACTCCTATAGAGTAGGGAACTGCTTTCTCTCCCATTCATCACGTAGTGAAAAAGATACCTTTCTAAACTTATGGTAGATAAATTAGTACAGTCTTTCATACAGACAAGACCACAGGATCCCCACAGACACCTTGGAATTATTTCACTTGGGGTCCAATTTTTAAACACATAAGCTCTCATGCAAGTACTTGACGCTGAACTTGCATTTAACTTCAGTTTCAAGTCCAAATGCTCTTTTGGTTTAATAACAGCATGCAAAAGCAGTGTAGGCTTTATAAAAACAAAATAATCACACAGATGCTTCTGAACCTGTTGTAGTCAGTATGTCTAAATGCTGTAAGATACCAGCTGAGTTGTTTTCCAGCAAAGGAGGTAAAACCAAAACAAGTAAGTTTACAGAACCACAGAATGGTTAGGGTGGGGATGGACTCGTGGAGTTCACCTGGTCCAACTGCCCTGCCCAAGCAGGTCACCTAGAGTGGGTTGCCCAGGACCATGTGCAGACGGCTTTTGAGTATCTCTAAGGAGGGAGACTCCACAGCCTCTCTGGGAAACGTGTACCAGTGCTCAGACACCCTCATGATAAAAAATTTAAAAAAAAAAAGTGTTTCCTGATGTTAATTGAGAACCTCC